GTGATGCGTCCACCGGGTGAGATGTAGCTGCCCAGATAACAAACTTATCTACCTGCTCTATTACTTCTCCAGTTAGAGTGAGTCTGGGTGCTGGACCAACCCAGTCTTGTAGAAACAGTTTAGACCTTGAAGGTGCGAAACGCATACAATAAATACACTAGCACTCAAACTACCCAGAAAAGCTTGTAACTTACCTGAATCTTCACTTAGTAACACAATGTCGTCTGCATACTCTAGATCAGACAGCCTGCCACCTGGGAGTAAATCGATGCCACTATTCTCGCATGAGGATAGGGCCGTTTCAAAAATAAATCTATAACAAAGTTAAATAGAAAAGGAGAGAGAGGGCAACCCTGTCGAACACCAATTTCCGTCGTGAACTCGGGTGAAAACGTGTCGTAAGCTCGAACTCGGCTTCGGCTATGAGTATAGAGGGATTGTAATATTGAAATAAACTTATCGGGCACTCCCTTCAGGGAAAGGCAGCGCCAGAGTTTAGAGCGGTCGACTGAGTCGAAAGCCGCTTTTAGATCGAGGAAAATAAAAATGGTGGGTCTACGAAAAGAATGTCGGAGCTCCAGAGTTTGGCGAACAGTGAAGATGTGGTCGATACAACCTCGACCAGGTCTAAAACCAGCCTGATTCTCACGTGTGCTCTCTTCACGTGCGGCAGATAATCGACGGAGTATGATGCCGGCAAGAAGTTTAGAGGTAATGTTGATTAACCTAATTCCTCTGTGGTTTTCACAGGAGGATCTGTGGCACTTCTTGTAAATCGGTATGAGTAATGGGTATGGGTGTACTACCTATTACTTTTTTATTACATTTTATTTCTTTTTTAATGACTATAAATGACAACTTTCAGGAAGGGGTAAGTGGCAAACCAACCGGGTTACCAGACAACCCATAGAGTGAAGAAATTAGGTGTTAGAGGGATTCGAACAAACGACCTTCGAGGCGACAACTTGACGACGTTGACCGTTTGACCACTCACCATTCACTGATGAGGTGATCTGTTCCCTGAGTCACTGTGTGCAAGTTTTGTAACTAACATCGCCCTGAATTTGAATTCCATCTGTATTACTGTATTTGGTTCCAGTTTATGCCAGAGCGAGAGAGAGAGAAATACAAAAACAAGAATTGGAGCGACGCACCGCTAGACACCAATGCATTCCGCGATCATGGATCGGAATGAGGACCAGATCTTGATCGAGCAGTTTCAACTGCCGAGACCATCGACGCACACCGCTGTATCCTCCGCCGGTATTCGACACAAGTTTGGCGTAGAAAAATGTTGACAGAACGGCAATACGAGGTAACGGTCGTCTCGTTTGCTCATCTGACTGATTCTGACTGCGATGATAGAGAAGCTGCATGTAGAAGTTGATGACCTGAGAAAAATTCGCGATAAGTTTAGAGTATTTTACTGAGCGAAATACGAATTTTACAACAGAGGTAAGCACAAACACACGCTATTCAAGACTATCAAATGAGGGTGAAGTGATAAATAGCACATCCCAGGCCGAAAATTCTTCAATAAAACTTAGAATTGAATAGTTTATCACTACCGTCAGAGGGCTATATTGAATGCGCATGAAACCACGAAGCCAAAGAAACTCAACTGACATTCCGGTCATTATGTACTGCAAAACAGGTGATTCAGAGCAAAAACGACATATGTAAGGGGAAAATATTCAAGAAGGAATCATGTTGCTGATTCTGTTTAAAGAGAGAAATGAGAATTGCAAGTGGTTGGAGAAACGGCAAAGGGAGGGGGTATTTAAAAGCTTTGCAATCCTGGGAAAAAAGGAAACTGTAACATAGAACTAAAAAGGATAGAAACCCGACAAGGATAACTAGATGCCTACGTTTGTGATGAGCAAGAAAAGATCATGAGGAAGGGGAGCGCTGAAGCAAATTCTGAGGAACATAAAGCACAATAATGACCGCAGAAAATGGATCATGAAGCGATATAGTGTATGCTAAGGAGAAATTTTTTACGGGCCTTACGTGAATGAATCGGATACATAGATGGATCTAAGTAGACGGTCTGAGAGTGAAATCTGTAGAACCAATGGGTTCCTTTCAAGGATGCACCTCTGGACTTCCCATAACAAATCGCTATCAATAGAATATGGTAACGGTTTTTGTGGCAGATCGAATTCATGCATACCACGACGAGGTATTGGGCGCTTTGGATCTGTTGAACACGTCCATTCCACTACCATTGTGACAATTTAAAGAACACAGGAAGATGTTACAATTCGTGCGAAGCTTTACATGATACAGTTCGAACCTACCATGTCACTGAGCCAATTCGACGCCGTCAATGTTAGAAGCTCTTTCCGGGTCACAGCCATGCGGAAATTTTCTACCAAAACAGTGTCCGAAGCTCCAGACCTGAGAACTGCTTCAACCTCTGCCCATTGAGCTTCGGTAAGTTCTGAAAGTAGGGGAGTCAAACGAACCTCAAAATAAGACGTATTTAAGAACAAACTAGTACAAAAACAACAAACATAAGTAATACAAATAAAAATATATATGCTTAGTTGATTGCAGCATTAGCAAAATGATATGTCTTGATTTATCGAAGCCACCAAGACGTGATATGCTGAGGGCATTGGAGGAAGTTTCTGTTTTCGTAAAACGAGATTGCCTACTGACAATTTCAAAGTAGTAGGATTAGAAATTGGTTTGACCCGGAAAATCGTTGGGTGCTTGGGCGGAACACATGAA